AGTGCCAAGAAGGTACTTTTCTCTTCCAATTAAAAAAATATCCTCCCCCACCCCCCAAAAAAAATTAATAGTTTCATTCTCATTATTCTTCTCCCTGTGGAAGTTACAGCAATGACTGAACTCAGACCCGAGTGTGGGAGCACCTGAGGTAACACTGGGAGGAAGGAACCTGTTTCCATTTCTGAAGTGACTCCTTAGAACATAGTTTACAATGTGTGGCCCAAGATGTTGTTTACACTGGTTTTGTTCCTTTATCCAGAAAAATTCAAGGTGAGCTGGGTGGAAAGTAAGGGACAAGCAGAGAGATGCCTTTCAGTGTCACACAACAGCCAGCTGACACGGAAAAGTGGCATTATCAGTAAACACAAGTGTTGAGGTAGTTGAATGAGACTTTTTTTCTGGAGATGGATTTTTCCAGTCTCCAAAAGATCATGGTCTCCATCAGAATGGAGCCCAGATCGATCACTCAGGAAAGCATCAAAATTTTATCCATCTCTCCCCATATATATTGAGACAGAAAATTCCCTGCAGCTGCTGCATTTCTCTTGGTGTATAATTAATTGTGAATATTGGCTGATTTACTCTAAAGACCATCATGCTCCATAAGTGGAAGATAAAAGGAAAAGCAATAAAACCAAAAAGAAATTCTTTCTTCTGCTGCACAGATTGTCTGGCATCAGCTGATTTCTGAATGTGTGAGGGCATTTTTTGCCCCCCCATGTCTCAAACAGTGATAGAAAGTGTCATATTAAGACTCTCGTGAGTCTTGATGTATCAAATGGATTTTCTGACTTGTAATTAAATCCTGAAGTTTTGAAATGGTGTTTCCATGATGGCTCTGACATTAAATGGACAGGTTAATAACAGATATGAAGGCACATGAATACAGAGGCTTCTCAGGGCTCTTGTTCTCTGCTTTTATAGAAGCCTGAATCAAGGGATTGGCTCCAAATCCCTCTACATCAAGAATAACAGTGGTCTGTCCTAATAATTTCCATTGACTCTGCAGAATACATAATAGGCATAATTATATCCCTTATCACCTAAATAAGGCTATTGCACACTGGTCATTGTCCTTTTCTAGACTTCTCAGCTTTTTCTAACATGAACAGAGAATGGAATCCTAATTTTATTCCTTCCTAAAATAAATAGATACTTCAGGGAGAACACTTGCCTTTGAGACAGCTGAAACTGGAAATAGAGATGGTTACAATCAGAAGAAATTACTCTGATTATTTAATTAAAATATTAATATCAGTTTTGACAATCCATGGCATGGGTATTTGAGTTACATTATGTTTTCAGCAAATCCAATTTTAATATAAAGTGTTAATTTAAAAACTTAAGCAATTTAATTTTTCAAGATTGACTTTAGATAATTTATACTGAGTTTAACACCAGGAGCACGTTCACAATTATTGCATAAGACTATTTTTCTACAAGTTCTTGTTTGTCATATGCAATGTTTGATAAAACAGGTATGAGAAGTGTGAGCAGCAGAAACTCCTTAACCTTTGAAGAATAATTTTGGCCAAGTGTGATTTACTTTCACTTGGAGCGGGGCCAGAGCAATGAAAAACTGAGCTTAAATAGAGGATCATTCCCAGGGTGTGCAAATTGCTACAGGGTTTACAGTGCAATGAGGAAAGACAGAAGTAAAATGAGGAAAGACAGAAGTAAAATAAGGAAAGACAGAAGGAAAATGGAGCTTCCAGGACATAAGGGCTTGAGTTGATCTCACTGCAGCTGCAGAAGGGGGAAAAAAAAGGCTCAGTTTTAGGTGTTACTCTCAGGTTTCTGCCAGCATAGATGTAAGTTAAGTCATTTGGGCATGGCTTTAGTCTCATATGAAAACTAATTGTATGATACTGGTTAATTTTTCTCTTCCTATCCTTAAATACACCTGCCACATGCCTAAAATTAAGCAATATGACAGTATGACATGACCCCATCTTCCAATTCTCTTTTTGAATGGAAATACCCCATGTATTTATGAGAGTATTTCATTAGTTTCTTCTATGATGCACAGTTAGGTAACATTTTTTTTATGCTTTTCCCATTTTTTTCCTCCTTTTTTTTTTCTTCATCTTTTCTCCATCCGCAAATCACCTTTTTAAACAGGTTTTTTTTCTGTCTAGTTTAGTGCCTTACAAGCTTCCCCACACATTACAACTATTAATAACTTTATTGGCAATTGATAGCAAGGGTGAAGTCTCTCCCATTAAAAGCATAAATTTTATATTTTATATTAACAAAATGAAACAGTGCATCATGTAATGACTATCAGTGAACCCTTGTGGTTCTTCTGACTTTATCTAACACCAAGTGAAGCTCACTATTATTGGGTTTGCATCATGAAATAAATTCAGATTTCAGTGAAGCCAGGACAGCTTCTCAGTGTTTTGCTTTATTTGTATTATGATTCAAGATCTAATACAGTAAACACTTGGTGCAAACACCTCCACCAAGGGATGTCCCACAGTGATAATGGCATTGACCTTATAGAGGATAAACCTCATAAAAATATATAAAGTGCCCCAAAGTGCTTAGTGAATTTTAGATTGATTATTCTAATAAAAACTCTACTGGCAAAATTTGTTTTCTGAACCAATTTGTACCTGAAATCGTTGCATGTAAGATCCCAAATCCCCTGTGTTGCCTCTTTGTATCTGTAGCAAAAGGGGGATGTGGCTGCCTATCTATAATGGATTGGGAACAAGCCTGCAACATTTTTTAATTACAATAGTGCTGTTCCCTGCTGATCAGGGAAAGCTCTGGAAGTGGAAACTGAGATCAGACACACATAATCCACCTCAGCCTTGATAGCAAGAGAGACAATTACATCTACACCAGCAATGTCTGGCCTCAATTGTGCTCTTGTATTATCAAATTAAGATATTAATATGCTGTCCTTAAGTTGTAAGTTGTACAATTATCCCCAAAGAACAAAGCTTTTAATCAGCCCCTGCCTGCTGCAAAGTACATCAGAATGATGGGGAGGTTTCTGGTTAGTGACAATGATTTTACAGCATACTGTGAAAATCCTATAACTAAAGAGCTTAAAAAAAAGAATTGCAGTTTGTATGAATATTTCATGATTTTTGTGCTTCCAGAACACAACGTTGTTTAGTCGCAAATAAAAGTACACCATGTTTATAATTCATGACATAAATTAAATGACTGGAATGTTTATTTCTACTGTATTTTCATTCAAATGCTATCAATTTTTAATATATATTAAAATTTAACAGTATGAGAAAATAATGTTAAAATATTCTTTGTAATTTTATGGAGCAACAGGATTTTCCCATCACTTCGTATGTGATTGAACAAAACTGCTGTGTCAAATAAATACCTTTATTAAAGGAGCAGAAACACATACAATAAATCCTTAAATTTGGAATGTGCACACAGATTCTGCAGTGAATCTGTGTTTCTTTATTTCCCTCCCTCAACTTTCCAGAGCATTTTATCTGTACCATAGCTGGGCATGTGCAGAGCTGGTAGAAGATGTCCCTGCCCGTGGCAGGGGTTTGGAATCAGATCATCCTGAGGATCCCTTCTAATCCAAACCATTCTATGGTTCCCCAGGTTCAGGACAAACAGCTAAAACCACACCATTAAACTGGGAATGGGATTCACCTCGAGCTGTTGGAGCTAAATCAAGTTTGGGAAATGAT